TGAATGATCAAGTTCCCAGTCTGAGAACTGATCAGTACTGGAAGTTTCATCAGAGAGGATACTGAATACTTGTAAGAGAGCAAAGACTGCTTATGCTAATTTCTTACTTATAATTAAAACTTTTTGATGTTTCAATTTGCAAAGCTTAATGAATGTATATTTAACACTTACATAAAGACTCCTTAAYTTGTTGAGTCTTAAGAATATCTGATTTCTTTAGATTTTTTATTGTAATRGGATTAGTCACATTTTACATGTATACACACGTCAACAAACAAACAAACAATAACAAAAAAGAACAACAAAAAAACACCAGACTGAGCATGGGAAGAGATCAAAGCACTCAATGCCACTTTTTCAATAAAGTATTTAAATCTTGAAGTGTTAACCTCCACTTCCCTCATTACTACTTGGAAAAAAGAGATGCAGGTTCTACTGTTCATCTTCTTTAAACATGAGAGTGTAATTTGGTAAGAATTTGCAGGAAAGCCTACTACACAGTGCAAGGAGGACAGTTTAGAATTATCTATTAAAAATACAGAAATATCAAGGTTTACAGAGCCATCTGCTACTATTAAATTTACAGTCTTTAGAGGTTTGTTCCTAAGAGCTGGATGCAGCACTGCAGGTGGTGTCTCAACAGAGCAGTGCAGAAGGGCAGAATCCCCTCCCTCCACCTGYTGGGACACTGTTATTGATGTAGCCCAGGGCATAACTGGCTTTCTGGGCTGCAAACTCACATTGCCAGGTCATGTCCAGCCTCTCATCCACCAGCAACCCCAGGTCCTTCACAGTTGCTCTTAATCTGCTCACCCTCTAGACTGTACAGATACCAGGGATTGCACTGACCCAGGKGCAGCACCTTGTACTCAACCTTGTTGAACTTTGTGAGATTCCTACAGGCCCCCTTCACCAGCTTTGTCCAGTCCTTCTGGATGGCATCCAATTCTTCACGTGTGTCAAGTGCACCACTCAGCTTGGTGTCACCTGCAAATTTATTGAGGGTGCACTCAATCCCTCTTTGTCACTAATCAAGACACTAAACAGCACTGGTCCCGTTATTGACCCCTGAGGAACACTACTTGTCCACTGGGACACSAAGCCATGGACCACCATCCTTTGGATGTAACTGCTCACCCATCAAATGCACCTCTCTTGAATTTAGAGAGAGCAATGTTACAGGAAACTGTGTCCAGATACATGACATCTGTAGCCCTTCCCTTACCCACTGATGTAGTCGCTYTGTTACAGAARGYCACTGGGTTGGCTGTCCCAAATTACATCCCTGTTCTCCATGTGCCTCAACACAGCTTCTAGGACAATCTGTTCCATAAGCTCTCCAAGTATAGTGGTGAGGCTGACAGGTTGGTAGCTCCTTTCTAYCCTTKTTTAAAATGGGTACAAAGCTTCCCTTTTCCCAGTCACCTGGGACTGCATTTGACTGCCATGACTTTTTGAGYATCATAGAACATGGCAAGCACTAACAGCACTACAATCCCTTTCTTCTATAAATACAACATCTTCAGAAACTGAGTTCTGAAATGTGTTTTACAAAAGCATCAGCTACCAAAACACTGCAATTTTTTMTTCTGTGAGTTGGGAGGGATTCCAAATCCGTAAAATAATGAACTAACAATCTATCACTTCTCATTCACAGCAACTCTCATAGGTCCCCATATATATCTTCTAAAATGTAGCTGTAGACCATTATCTGTGCCTAAAATCAAGCAGACACATGCCTTAAGAACTGCAGTGACCAACCGACCACCCCAGCTGACCACCTGAAAGTGAGATGAAAGTTACATGGGAAGAACAGAAGGGAATCAAGGCAGTTGGATCTCCATGATAAGGAAGATTCCATTACTCATTTTTGCTTCACATTCAGAGGAGCACAGGTACAGCCAAGACAAATAATGCCACTGCCAACTTAGGAAGGCAGTCTATTTCAACAGTATATATATTTAAGAGAGAATATTAAGTGAAGACTGAATTAATTGCATTCATTGTGGTAAGTTTCTCAGGAAAATGGTAAGAAACAGATGCTTACAAAGCTGTTTCCTAAACCACACAAAATCCCTTATAGTCCCACCCACTGGAGGCACATATATCAGAATTTTCTTTTGCCAGTGCTAATGACAAAATGAAGAAATTTTGGCAAATTTCAAGGACAACCTAATACCTATTATTATGCAAACCTTCCAACCTATGGCTTCCAATAAACACATCTTCAAGAAGAAAATTCTCATGGCATATGCAGGAAATTCACCAGATTTTCATTACCAAAGATTCTCATTCTAAAACTAAAASCTTAAATCTATACAGCAACCCTAMGYATCTAAGGCAAGTCAGCCAACATGAACAATTTTGGCACCCTTCTGGATATAGGACAAGGCAAGAGTTTGAAATAGCAAAGCAAATAAGGTTAATTGAGAGCTTATCTCTTATTCTTCATGTGGTAGGACTAGTAAATACTGCCTGAGGCCAAGCTGCAAGAGTATAAGAAAAAAACATTCACATAGTTTTAATTTTTTGATCACTACTGAARTAGTGATAGAAACAAATAAGTATAATTTGTGGACAGACTCGCTGGCCTTTTAATTTAGATTTTTAAAAAATATTTTAAGAGGTAATTATTTAGATGTTCTACAACCAAATACTAAGAAAATACATGAATATCCTACAAAAGAATAGTGTGGACAAAATGGGGAAAATTTATAAAATACTTTTCTGAAATTTACACAGGATAATCAACAAAAACTTTAATCATTCATAGCCAATATTTAGGAGATGTTTCCTACTTCAACTGAAGATGACCAAGTCTGTACAGATTTGCTTTAAAATTTATACATGACTGCTTCGTTTAAATATTACAATTAATGACTCCTTGATTTTAGTATTTTAGGACAGTAAATGACCACAAACTTCCAAGTAYCATACTGAATTACTCAAGCCATCAAATAAAACCATAACAGTTAAGACTTTTTAGAGAAATAAATCAAATCCCCTCTTTTGTATAGAACATCTATCTATCTCTGATAGTTTTATGTCTTAAAAAATTCAAGTATCACAAAATCATAAACAGGGTTATCTTTKAAGTTGTTCCACACGTCATCTGCATATATTAAACTCATGCAACAACACATTGCATCTGTCAATTCCTTTCTCTCAGTATAACTGAGTTGTTCACAGAAGCAAAAACCTTTTAGCAGTGCATGCCTTTGCAATCACTAGTTAAGTATTAAAATCTCTCTAGCAAGCAAGATATAAAATTATCAGCAACATGTAATGACATTCTTTTGAACAGAAGCAATTCTTGAATAGAGTTACAAGAAGTATGGAAGCACTCRAGTTAATTACCTTTTACTACCATTCATCTGTGTACCACTGCCAGTATTGATGACTGACTGCTGATAAGTTATCAGTGGTGAGGGGGTAGGGAATGAATATTTGAACTAAGCACATTCCGGAAGAACTAACAAGAATGCAAAGATGGGAAGGGTTTAAAAAGTTAGTGTGCTTCAGTCACACAAACTGTAGTTAGTAAAGGGACCTCAAACTGAATTAGATGCTCAGACAGTACATCCTGGAAAAGTTCCACAGAAAATACAAGTAGGCAAAGGTATTAAGGACTAATTGATTACTCAGCAATTTGTGCCTCAGCATATTTCTTCTTAACATTACACAAATAGTCACTGATTTTAAGAAAATAAACAGATTATTTCTTCTCCCATCTTTGTAAACTGCAAGACAACTTCTGGTTAAGATAATTCTTTCAAAGAGTAAAGAAGGACTTAAAATATTTAATCAGAACACAAGAAGTAAATAAGTGCAAGTATTTCCTTTCTAGAAAAACAGGGTAGCAAATCTGTGTGCAATGGCTGACCTTGTTCATGACAAGAACTTTAACATGCAGTGGATCTGCCTTTATTCTGAAGGGATTACAAACACAACTACAAGGGTAAAGACCATGTGCTTCCCCATCCTACTAATATTATGTCCAACGGAAGACTACCAAGTGGAACACAGAAGGCTCATAGAGAATTAAGCAATTAATTCACAGGACAAAATAACAAATTTTGTGAAGGTTCACATACAGGGGAAAATAGWGCAACTAGATCTATAGAACTATATAGAATCTAAGCAATGAACTTCAATGCACTTTATAAAATAAAGRTGTATCACCATATGTTCCACTGACTTGCACACAAGACTGATGATTGGCACATCAGAATTTTTTCGTTTCCCTTTAGACATTCAAGGACCTTAACAGTGTACAGTTCAGTAAGAAAAAAAACCAAACAAAATCAAATAAACACAAAATAAACAGCATAGGATGGAGAAATAAGGAGAAATTATATTAAGTTTTCCTATACCATTGAACCCCTTCACATCAAATGTTTTTTAAAAAAATGGTAGACATGCAATCTGTCATTCTTCAACAGTAACCACAAATAACAAAAGCATTCAAAGTGAAAACCAATGGTCTTATAYTTTATTCTATGTGTTTCTATGGCACTACTATTACTGCTTTGTCAGCTTAGAAATGTTCCACAGTAAGCAACCTACAGCAGAAAAGGAGGTCTAAGAACTACTTAGAACTATACCTGAATGAGTCTCAAAGAAGAGAGTCTAGCTTCTGGATTTCAGCAATGAAACAGTAAAGAAGTGAACATGCATCAGGTATGACAAAAAAACTAATGGTAATTAATAAAAAAAAAACAAATGAAAGACATGAACAACACTAAGTTAAATTAGCATGAACTACAATTATCTAAGTATGCACATAAAACAGACACTTGCATGTACTAGCAGAATACAGTCACAGTAAGTTACAACACACACATGCCAAACCACACAGAAAGAGCAGACTAGAATAGCTAGCTAGAAACTACATGCTAAGCATGCTAAAAAGTACCTTCAAGAAGCTTAGAGGAACAGGAGGTGTTTGAGTCACAGCCTACCAAGCTGACACTTTGGCCACAGAAGTTGGATTTGCTTACCTCCTGTAAAAGATCTGCTTGTTCGATGGCTTTAAGAACATTTTTCTTGGAAGTCTCCTGAACTTCCCCTCCTAAAAGGAACTCATCCAGAATGAAATAGGCTTTTTCAAAATTGAAGATGATATCAAGTTCACACACCTAAAAAAAAAAAATCAAGCATTATTGCAAAGTGGGAGGATACTCTTGCTTGAGGTATACTCTCTCATAAAACTTAACTTGTTCACAGCTTCACCAAACTTTACCAACAAGACATCAACTTAAAGCTATAACCTCGTAAAGAATGGGGCAACATTAAAAATGAGTCCTTGGAGGACAAAAAAACCCATCATGTTTTTTGCTTGAGTTAAAAACAGTTAGAGCAACCTCTGAAAAATGCTTTCATTGTTAAAAAAGGTTCAATTCACAGCAGTCTGTAAGACGTGKCTCCTCAAGAGRCAAGAGAATAAACCTATGAAAGTTCAATGCATCCAAAGGCAGCTGACAGTCTTACAGAAAGACATGAAAACAAAAAAAAATAATCTCAAATTTCTTGTTCAGTCAGTGCATTTCATACTCAGGACTATGAAGGAAGGCAGAATGAGCAGCAGTTTTTCTAGGAGTGCTCATGTACATTACTATAGCTGTTTGTGTTTGCTGTCTGGATAAGCAGATGTCTGTCTTGTCTCTCCTTACTGTTCCTGCTACTTCACAACCAACTGCCTCTTTTGGAAGCTKATGTAAGAAGTGCTCACACTAGAGCAGTGCCAGGGAAAAGAAAAGCTTCCTGCTAAGAGTAAGGCTTTATCTGACCCCAAGTGAGACTACTATGAAATGAAATGAAATAAATATAGACAATTAACTGCAGATTAATAACAGTTCTTCTCCCCAATCAATAATTTAATTTTGTATTTTAATAGAAGCAACTGTTGGTTTAGTTTGGCCAAGCAAGCCACACAAAATGTATTAAATGCACCTTTTCAATTACTGTTTGCTTATGTTCTTATAAAAGTGCTGTGAGCATAAAATAAAATGACAAAATACAAAGAAACTAACTCACACTGCCAAAATACTTGTCCAGAAGTTCTACATAGCGATGAATTATTTCCAGAGTTATTAGCTCATTGTCCTGATCTTCAATAGCACAGCAGAAATAGAGGCTTGCATATCTGTAATAATAAAATAATCCTGGTGTTAGTACCTGAGCACAAGCAAAACAAATGCACTTGAGGAGTATCACATTCTCAGCTGTCCTTCACACTCAAGTTCAGCATATTGTTAACCTCAAACCACAGCCAAGCAAGTCCTACCAAAGAATGGCTGAAAAACCAGAAGACACAGGTACAGAAGAGATAGGTCTCCAAGTCAAGCATGACTTCACTCTTTGCCATGCTTTAKCTGACAGAACTAAAATAGCCAAAGAGGTGGTTGGAAAACTAAATGTATTTGATTTTGTGACCTCCTGGGAGAGTTCTGAGATGAGGTACTTTCTCTACTCTCTGTAATATTCATACACCAGTGAGCTGATCACCTGATTCAACATTAAACTTTTATCATATAAGCTATACAGATATTAAAAACCATAGAAAAATGCCTCAAGAAAGATAAACTGAATAAGCAATTAGGGTTTGGTCTTCACAGAGAATTWAAAAAAAAAAWTWAAAAATCCAAAAACCAACACCAATGTCATAAACCCCAATTACTACTAAGTCAGTAACTTAATCCCTACTAACTGYCCTGGCATCAGACTGATGAGAGGCTATCAAATTGTTTCTAGCAATCCATTTCCATCTTAGAAGACAGGGAATTCCTCAAAAATGACTGAGTTCCACTTTAATAAAAAGACCACTCATTTCTACTGTGCCTTACCACAGATTTGTTCAAGTCATGTTTAAAAAAGCRGATAAAAAAACAAAGCAGGAATGAAAGACGAAAACCCCATTTAGTCTTTTCTAATGTGCCAAAACCATATGCTTTTCAGTCACACATGGCACAAACCAGATTTCAAGTACCACCTGTTGTAACTGCTAATTTACATGAACCAGAAACAGCTTTTGTTTACCTCTTTAGAGGGGACAACTGGTTACATCAAGCACTCCGAGTAGCGAAAAAGAAGTGATTCAGATGTGAATGCCAAATTTAAGGTGTGCATTTGTTCTCCATACAGAKCAATCCATGCAGCTTTTAAACATTATGCATGTTTTATCAGCTGGGACTTGTTAGGTTTTTGCTAGAAGTCCTGAAAAAACCCTACTGTATTTTCAGGTATGCTCAAATTTGTCTCCTAGACACTCATCCAGTACCATTTATGATATGAAAATGTCCCCCCTTCTCCCACTCTGCTCWGAATCAAATTGCTATGGCTTCAAAATGAATGATTAATCAGAATAGCTTTCATATAAAATCTTTAAACTACTATAAAATATTACTGTCTATCCTATCAAAAAACATGATGGGGGAAGAGAGAAAGACACCTCCATTGAAGGACAACACCTTTGTTCCCTTGCTCTTTCATCTCTTCACCACAGGGATTCCTCAGCTCATCAGAAGTCCTATCTGAGCAGAGGTTTTGATTTTACACTGTTCTGTTTATGCCTCACTAATTTTTCAAGGACATTTACAGTCATTTTAGTTGCTTGCAAGATTCAATCTAYATAAGGAACCTAAACTATTTTTTAAAGTACTGGAAAAAAAATTATAAAAGAAAAAACATGCTTTCAAACCCACTGAGGAATTTGTTAAGTCAAGCTCCATCATGTTATCATATTTCATTGTAGCAAAAAAGAGCATTGACACATTATTTGACATTTACACTAATAACCAGCACTCAGTCCAAATCCATCTAAACAAAGCTTTCATCACCTTCAGATGAGTAGCGCTGATTAGGATGAAAACCGTTTCCTTACCGKGCATATACACAAGGTGAACCACATACCAGCACACCTTATCAAATCAAATTTGACTCAAGTATTTTAAAGTTTATCCGCATGGGACAGTCCCACCATCCTCCCCTATACTTAAGAGTCTCTCTTGATGCACAAAACTATTTCATAGGAAAAGAAGGGGGAGGAGAGAGAGGGAGACCAACACAAAGTACTTTCCTAGAAAATGGTCTGCTCTCAGTGTCCTCATCTAAAAGAGAACGYAACATACTTTCAAAAGACCGTATTTGGCAGCTAGCAAGGAGACTGCACATTCAAGCTCTGCCAACTGCAGTTCTGGAGAAATAAGACCAAGAAACAAAAACTACTCAGTGGGCATCAACACAAAATGAAGGCCTGGGTATMTATTATTATATGCAGAGAATATTTTTGTATTTATTTTTTAAGTAGAAGCCATGACTAACGGATCTCTACTCAACAACAGAAAACAAATGCAAATTTAATAAGCCTAAATGGCAAATGGTAGAAGAGTATAAACAAGTCATACCAAAGAGGATGAGCATACTACAAAGGAATGTTTCCGATCCAAATTCCCACAGGCAATGGTTTATTAAAATTTCTTTCCGTTGCAGGCCAGGGCTTCAGGAAAAAAGCGTCCACTTACAATCCASAGCAGACACTAGAAGTTTTGCCAAGTGTACAAGTTTACATGTACAGTGTCCACACAAAGACGAGTAGACTGCTCTASTTGGGCTCAGAAAGATTTCTGCTGTGCAGAAACAGTTTCTTCCTAATGAGCCTGACAGAAACTTGTCTTTCATACGCACCAAGCGAAAAGGCAAACCCTGACAGAAAAGTATTTACACAAAAGTAAATAAAGAGCAATCTGTAAGAAACATTCTGGCTTATTCCTAATGCAATTGCAGTCTTTTTTTTTGATCTCACCAAATATTATTTAAATAATCTTCAGAGTCAACTCAGCTGCTTACCCTCATTTAGGAAAATGTTTTATGATAAATATCCTCCGCTTATCAGAAAGGAGATCAAAACCGGAGAGACCAAAAACGGTTTGGACAAAATCACCTAAAAATGTAGWAATACAGGATAAAAGAACAAAAAGGCAACACCACAGGTATAAATACTTCTGAAAATTCCTGCCTTCAGACAGATGGCCTCAGGTTTTTTTTTGACAGGAAACAAATCCACACATCTCCCCACCAAGAGTTGTTCTAATTCAGTAGTGGGAAGTCTCAAAACAGGCAGGCAATGCTTCAGCAGAGTTCTCTTCTGCTCTCACAGGTAGGCAGTGGACAACCTGCAAATCCTCCCAGCTCAGTGGTGTTCTCCTAGATGAGAGAACACCTGCTTGAAGTCATCCCTGGAAATTTGTCACCAGATAAACCTGCAAACAAGCCATAAGTCTGTCCGTATCTATGCCACTTTGCATGTAGATCTTAATTGCGAAGTTTTAAGCTTACAAAGTTTGGTATGAACAGAATCGAACTGTAAATGATAACCAGAAGGCAAAAAAGTGCTCAAGGGAGCCCGAGAATCTGTGGTTTGGCGATAGTTGAGCCAATGAAAACTGGGACCACTAATAAGTTGTGCTAGACAAAAGATTTCTTTCTCATCCCTAAGAAGTTTACACATTTCTTTAAATAAAACATGAACTTCTGAGACTGCAGGACAGAGTCTACCAAAATGAAGCACTTTTCCAGCTTCTTATTTCAGCGAGGCTATAGCCCCTAGCAGTTTCAAAATGAACAAGAATTCTTAATTCTCCAGGAAAAAGCTGCTGCTTCTTGATACTGAGGTCTTCCTAGTGCCAACAAATTAGAACACTGTACAAAGAAGAATTGATCTAATTAAAATTGTCAAGTCCAAGTATCTAATTCACTGTAATCATTGCATTCAGACAGTTTTACAAAGCTACCTAATCAGCACCATAGTAATACTTTTAACAGGTACAACCAGCTCCTTAGTTATACATAAAGAAAAACAGGGATCATGCCAACAGCTGGGCACATCCCACTGGCCACAAGGCTGTACCTTCAGTTCACAATACTGTAAGAGGCACAATACCTGCACAATGGGCTCTGTCATTGCTTCTTTCAGTGGAGGGAGGGTAGAAAGAAAGTTTTAAAACTTATTCTGTTCTAAGTCTTTAATATAACCTCTAATTATGGTTCTGYTGTGCAAAAGTAAAAGACAATTGCCACATCAAGGGCAGCAAAAGCTATGGTAGTTTCATAATATCATATTCCAAATACAGTTCCAAACTGACACATAAAAGCAAAGCCACAACAATCCTTAATCAAATAACTAATCAACAAAGTACCATGAATGCAGTTCAACAAATGCTAACAAAGTAAAATTTATATAAAATCAGTTGCTCTCCAAGTTCTGATCTTGACTGCAATATACCACACAATGAAAATAACTCATATTGCCAGAAGCTAAAATAGAGAAGTCTTCAAAGAAAAAAAAAATCCCATCTTAAGTTCTTTTGTTTAGTAAAATCAGAAATTTTAACATTTAATACAACTTTTTGCCACAGGGGGAAAGCTTCATGAACTTCTACCCTATATGCTCCAAAAACACTGTTACTTTTTAAATGACAAAGTGTGAAGAGCAAACACATTAATTGTGTTTGTTAAGTTTCTAATCAGCTGTCTGCAGATGACTCCCCCTCTGTTTTCATAAAGTGCAATTGTTGCTGGCTTCCCCTATTTAATTTTTTATTTTCCCAGCAAGTCACTTCAAATCTCTATGCTTCTTGAAGTTAGAAGCTCACATCCTTTTTTTAATCTTCTGGTGTCTATCAGCCTGAAAAAACAATCTTCCAACCCAGCTACAGAATAGATATAAGCCAATTCATGAACCATGACAAAAGCTGGGCACCTGTGTTTTGTAGTGCTCAAGGAAAAAAATTTAAGGAGGCAATGACTGAGCCTGTGTTGCAGCCATTTTCAATGTTACATGTATAAAACTAGAGAGAAATAAAAGTCACTTCACACACGTTCAGGTGAATTTTAAGATCCATTTCCTTGAAGATTCAGAAAAAACCCTATAAAGTGCTACAGAGCTAAGGAGGCTAATCAAAATAGTCCAGCAGTCTTAGTAAATGTTAAGTATCATAAGGAAGCTAAAGCTACTGCCTTGCCAACTTTGCATTTCAGATCATTCTGTTCTTGCAAAAGGGACAACAATGACACCTTTGAAGATACTTCTAGTAATGCCAACCATTCTTTGAGCTGCCACATCTAGATTCAATTCTCCTGCACAYAGACAACAAAAACATACTAAAAACAAAACCAGCACTTGAATTTCAGCACTTTGACTTGTAATGGCAATATGCACGTACTTTTACAACTTATACTGAAAAACATTTGCACCAGCAGCTTCAGATCCTTCCCAGCAATAGATCAGACAAGAACAAATCTTAGCAGAGATCCTCTAGAGGTGCTCGACAGGAGCTGGGAGCACCTTCTGCAATTTTGCAAATCACAAAGTTCCTTCAGATGGGTTTATCTTTCAGCCATTACCTTTCCAGCTACAAAAAGTCACCCTTTACAAACAAATCCCACTAGCTGGCACTCATCATCTTTAAGTACAGTGTGATGATGGGAACAAGTCCCACAAACCTAAGAGCTGTTAGTGTTATCAAATATGAAATTTAAACTATCCCCTCTTAATACCCAGTCCTTCTGGTGGTGTTTTAGCCAAAAAAAAAGTTGAGATGCTCATTAGCTTGGTACAAGTTCCTCTTTAGCAGTTTCATAGACTGTCTGTGCCAGATTGGTCTGCAGAGAGTGAAATAAGCTGCTGCAGTCAGCTGTGCACACCAGCAGTCCAGCAGACAGACTGCAGTATTTAGACCATTTTTAGCCAGACATAGACATCTCCCAGCAAATTCCTTCATTCCCCTTGACCACAGGACCCACAATACACTACCAAGATGCAAGAACACCACAATGTTCAGCAATTCAAACAGTCCTACCCAAATTTCCACCATCTCTAGACACAAAAGGACATGGCAAGTAGTTGTTAACAGCAATAAACAGGGAGGGAAAGCAGCCGCGTGGAATCATCCCCTGGAACAGCGACTGCAGTTCAAGACTGGGCAAGGAAGGGAACAAACTACTCATGCCTCATTTTTCTGATTYAGTCCCATGAATACCCAGCTGAAAAAGCACTTGCAGGCACTATCAYTTCAAGAAGCATAGCAAGCGCTTGAGCAAGCTTGTTCAAGAAGTTTTGTGAGGAAATCAAGAGGTGGAAGAAGAAACTCTGCGTACTTTCAGCACAGCCTCATGCATTGTTTATCCTCTTTCCCCCTCGTGTTGAAGAACCACATGCATTAGACAGAACACCAATATTTACATGCATCTATGTACATAAAGCAATATGAAACTAGGACTTAAAACATCTAAATATATTCGATACTGCTCATTTGTTATCCTGGAAAAGTTAAAAACTCTTCATTTCTGGTACAGTTCTTTCTGTCCTAGCTATGGAGAATAYAACTGTATTTACTGTAGGGCAAAAATTATCTACTATCTCCAAGGGAAAACAAGAATGCATAAACCTTCTGAAATTTACAACTAACTAAGGAAGAGAAATAACTCAAGGCTTTGTAGTACCAGCTTTAGCTGGAAGAGATGCAGCCTACCACACCAGTAGAATTAGTATCATTTCTGAGAAAAATTATCATCAGMGCACTACATTGTGATACAGTCTAAAGATCAGCACAAAGCTAAAAAATGCTTGCCAAATACTCCTAGAAAGGGTAGGGACCAACTGAAAAATGAAATTATTGTGAAGAAAATCATACAGTACTTCTCCCAAAAGAAAACTAGCCATGATTTCTTCAATCACAAAAAGCGCCTTTTTGCACTGAAGAGAAAAAAAAAATTAAAAAACCCAAACCAGGTACTTTGAAAAATTATTTTCTTATTTCTATGAAGCTTTAGRGAAACATTACATTTTTCACGTGATTTATAAAGCCACTGTTTGAAGTAAATATAAATTTTTATTACTTATTAAATCTAAAACGAGTACAAATATGAAGCATGCATGTACTGTGTGAACGGAAGGAGAGTACCAAGAAGAACTGCCACTCCTTATGAAAGTAGGAGGAAAGCTCATTTCTTTTCTTCAGTACATTTCTAAATGCATGAGTGATTTCCTACACATGAATGATTCCTGCTTGGTTATCAAATTAGATTCAAGGGAAAAGTCAGTCTCCTTTGTAACCAGCAGAGGGAAGGGGAAAAAAAAAACAACAAAACAAAAACACGCTTCATTATTTTCTTGCTACTTAATACACTGTTTGTGATGTATGGCTATTACGAGGTTAGTGAGACAGAACCACCTTTTGTAGACAATCTTCAGGTCTCTCCATTCCAAGAAGCTGCACATTTTCGGTTTGCGGGCTAATACTGTTTGAACAAGTTCCCTTGTGATTTTCTTCTTTTCTTTGTCAGATAATGGGACATACCACTTCTGGAGTCTCAGTTTCCCCTGGCGACTAAAAAGCAACATAAACTGCATCTGTTGAATTGAAAGGAGGRGAAAAAAGAAAAGCATTAATCTCAGCCTCCGAGTTTCGAAAAGATCTGAGAAAAACCAAACAGGAAGCAAGACGAACATCCAGAACCCAAACTACATCATGTATTTCTACAGCACTGGCAGATGTTACACAAGATTTGGAAGTACCAATAATACAAAGGATTCTGCTGAGCAAGGTCAGTCGAGCCAAAGGCAGAAGAAAGCGCACACAAGTTTCAGAAAGGGGTGTCAGAACCATCGGCTGGCGAGTGAATAGACCCCAATTTCAGACCAGCCACGTCCAGTACCAGTGTGGTTCCATCTGCGTTTTCTATCCAAAAGACAAAAAAAAACACCAGCACAGCAGAGTCTTCCAACATCCAACATCATTTCCAATTCACCGGATTAGAGCCTTACAGGAGCAATTTGCACTTAAAATCTTTCTGAAAGCCTCGGAATACTTTAAAAGACATTAAACCTCCCAGCGGAGAAGTCCTACGGCACAGAAAAGCCCAGTCTTTTCCCACGTTACACAAAAGGAGCGATTAAGTGCTTTCCCTGCGGTCCTATGTTCCAGGTCTCGTTTCCTCTAAAGGAGTGATGTTGCAATTATATTTTAAGAGGAACTTGCCGGGCTGTGTTTTCCAGCAGCTGTAACATTAAATGAAATGGCTTCGGCTTTTTTCTTTTGCCTTTTTGCTCGAAGTTGTATGGGGCTGGGGAAGTTTCCCCGGCAATACGACGGACATGAAATACGATGCGAAAGCCCAGCCTGGTCCCGGGTGACAAGCCTGACCAGCGCCAGCCGCGACGAGCGGCGGCCGCGCCCGCAGCGGCTCCGCGGTGCCAGGGCGGGGGCAGAGCCCCGCAGCCCCCGCAGCCTCCCAACATCCCAACATCCCAACATCCCAACATCCCGCCTCGCCTCCCCGCCAGCCCCAGCACCGCCCCAGCTCCCCCTCCGCGGAGCGGGCGGCTCGGGAGGGGAGCCGGGCTCCGCGCGGCTGTGCTCACCGTGCCCGGGAAATAGCGGAGCTGAGGCGGAGGAGGAGAAAGAGGCACCTCTGCCCAGACCGGCACCGCCGATGCTGCCGCCGCGGCCACCGAGCGGGACTGAGGGAGRGGACGGGAGGTGCCGCCGGCGCGAGCGCGCGCGCGCCCCAACGGCCGCCCCCCGGGCAGGTCGGGGGCGGGGCCGGGCTCGCGAGGGGCGGGGCCCGGGTGGAGGGGGCGGRGCCCGAGCGCCTCCGAACAAAACTTTATCAGCTGCCGCCTGAGCGGGGGAGGGGACCGGAGCGAGCTCGGCCGTCACCCAATCGGAGAGCTCAGCGCACGGGCGCGCGGGAGGAGCGAAGCCGGGCTGCACCAATGAGAGACGGGAAAAGACGGGGAAGGCGGAGCTGGTGCTGGCGGAAGGAGGGGCCCGAGCAGGAGGCGGGGCTTAGGGGCCCTAATCCGCGTGGCCCGAATTGCGATAGGGCAACGGCCGGCGCGGCAACAGCCAACCAGGCGGCGCGGTGCAGATAGCGGTCCGTGAGCAGCCAATGGGCGGGCGCGGCACGGAGCCGGGGAAATGACATCAGTCAATCAGGCGCCTGGAGACTGAGGCTCCTCCCCCGGCCCCGCCAGCCCCCAGCGGGGGGGGGTGCGGGAGGGGCGGGCGAGCCGCGCATGCGCCGCGCCGTGTTTGCTTCCAGCACGTGCGCGCCCGGGGGGCGGGGAGGGAGGGGGCGGGGCTGAGGGGGCCCGGGGGGCGGGAGAGGAGGGGCGGGAACGCTGCTGTGAGGGGACCGAGCCCCTGAGAGGACCGAGCCCCTGAGGGCATTGTCCTGTCGGGGATGCACCCTGCCAGGGCACCAAGCCTGTGAGGGGATAGTGCCTCTGAAGGGACCGAGTCTGTGAAAGGATTGTCCGTGTAAGGGCATTGTCCCTCTGAGCGGACCGACCCTATCAGGGGATTGTCCATCTGAGCCGACCGACCCTATGAGGGGTTTGTCCATCTGAGCGGACCGACCCTATGAGGGGATTGTCCCCGCGAGGGGAAGGTTTTCCCCTAAAGTCACCTTGATTGCGAGTTGCAATTAGATTGGCAGGACCAGCCGCCGACATAAAACTTAGCGGTGTTGTGTTTCACTAACGCTTGGTTTTAAAATTATGATCCATGTATATCTACAGAGGCTCTCCGTGCTGAAGGAGCTCAGTTTCGGGGTTTGGTTGGGTGGCTGGTTTTGGTTTTGTCGTGGATTGGTTTGGTGTTAAAATTCTAATGAGGGTGGGCTGAAAACACTTAGCAAGGTTTTAGTTGAAAGAAACAGCGGTGTCTCTGCAAGCTGAAGTTGCAGCATCTTATTATTTAAAAAAAAAAAAAAAAAAAAAGTTTCAAACACCTAAAGCTCTCAGCATCCTCGCTGCTCACCACCACCCTCCAGCACTAAATGAACTGCAAAGCTGACCTGATCGGGCTGATCCGATAATGGTGTGACAATGACCGACAGAACYCGGGAAAGGGTCGTGCTCCCTCCACAGCTCTCCTTCAGGAGCAGCTCCCGGCGCCTCAGGATGTGACACRCTTTTATTACTTTCTATTATTGACACTTTAAATAAGCGCCCATTCTTCTGGCCACGAAACGGCTATGGCAGCAGAAAACGGCGCTGGAAAGGCTTTTGTGTRAAAATGTGCATGGTCTGAAAGGAAAGCCAATTTTCTGACGTTTCAAGGAATGCTRTAGTCGATTGTACTTGAGGAAAACTGCAGATATATTCCTGATTTTATAGAAGAGGTTATAACTGTAAGAGTAAAGTGGCATGAGGACCAGGAGGCGTCAGTGAAACCAAGCTGAATGGATAAGGCAATTGCAGTATTAGAGGTCGTGTAGAAAATAGAACTGCTGTTGTAGGGGCTTGTTCCTGTCACATTTAATGTTCGTTGAGCAGCTGTCCCGTTCTCATGTGAACCTGCCTTTCATCAAGCGCGGGAACAGTTGTGCGTGGATCTGTTACCTGACAGAGCCTGCCCTTACACCAGGCTGTTGCTTTGTCCTCAGCAGTTGCCAAGCTTTGCATTTCTGCTTGTTACCTGTGAGGTTATCCCTGCTATTTTGGTCTAAAATACCCTGRTTTTCAGAAAACTTTCATATATTATCTCTTTACTAATCTGCACTTCACTAGTCTTGAATTCAGCATCATATATTCTGTGATTCTTGGAGTGCATGCCCACTTCAGGGGTTTTGCAATCTTCTAAATCATAATTTAAGCCAGMAACAAACTTTTCTTTCTCTTCATCTGTGCAACTTCCAGTTTATTAGCATCGTTATGGTAATGGGAGCTCTGAAATTGATTTCTGAAGGAGTCGCACCAGACCTATGTTATGATTTGTAGCTTCCCAGCTCACTGAAATACTTCTGCATATGGATCAAACCACACATTTTGCAAACACATAGTTGATTGAAATCAGATGAACTATCCAGATGGTTCAAGAAATGTCTGTTTTAGTGGCATGACGTCTTGAAGCCTCAGCGATTCTTTTTTCCTTTTTTCAATATTTTTTTCTTTTTTTTTTTTTTTTTTCGTAATTTACTGCTCATTTACAGTGTATAATTTCATACAGTGATACAAGGAAAATTGTTCCACTACTTTTCTCCCTTCTCTCTTTTAGTTGGATGGATTTCTTCAGAGTATAAGCTGGAGTTTCTTCATTAAATCTCCTGAGTAGAATCACTCTGCTATATGCAGTTTCCAATGGTGTGATAAGGCATGTGAAACCAGTGCTATGCCAGGCATCATGGAAATTCCAGCCAGGTCCAACTTGGAAGAAGCTTTCTGTCTTCCACAGCCTGTCCTGCCTCCTCATCCTTGTTTCAGACAGAGGGTGAAATGTTCTCAGGCATGCCAGGATTGCTACTCATATGGTCATTCCTTAACTCATTTCTCTCAAAATGACCCTGCTTATTTTAAGCCATTGAAGGCATGATTCCATGTCAGTTTCGGATTATTTAAATACCAGCTTCTCCCATCCTCTCCTTCCATTCCCAGCTCCATGTCCCCATCTCTTTTCCYATGCTGGTACTTTGCTGTGTCATGTATTGTCAACAAGGCTGGCTTTGGCTGTACAAATGACTGAGAGAGTTGGCTTCAGGACTGACCACCTGTGTCGGGAGGCAGTGACAGAGGTAATGCTGTCCCTTATGTTTGTGCTGTGTTTCAGGAACTTCAGAAGACTTGCGGCTCACATTTTTTTTTCGGTGTTGCGATTTGCACTAATTGTCTCTCTTAATACCAACTCCATCATTTGTTCCTGTATGAAATTATCCTGTCACTTACCCATTGAATTAGCAATATACTGAACAAGCTGTAATTATCAAATTGATAAAGATATATATGATGCTTACAACGATAATACATCTTTGAGTATTCCACAAACCCGTGACAATGCAACTGTCAATGCAGTCTAATTTTAGACATGACACTGTGAGTCTTCTGTTCATTAGCTTTTGTTCATTGTCTTATATCCARCTTGATGATAACCCCCTGATTTATTTTGGATGGACTGTTTTGTTAGCTGCTCTAATTGTAGGATCCTTTTTATTCCATTTTAGATGTAAGGCAAGTCTTCAGGGGATGTATTCATTGACCATAAGACATTTGGGGTCCTCAGCCAAGAGTTTGCTTTGTGAGTTATTTCCAGCATGACTTGAGACACAGAAGAGAACTGCCTGGAGCTGGGGAGAGAGGCAAGAAGGAAGCTTACTTCAAACGAGATTAAACTTGCTTGGGTTTGACTGGTATSGTTTATATCAGTTTTGGAGGTTTTGTTTGTTTGTTTGTTTGCTTTTAATTAATTAGACTATAGTTGTTTTGTCTGGAATAGTGGTTCTTATACAAAAATTAATAAGGCCAACCTCCCGGCATTTGGCACTTCGTGCATATTGTTATTGCCAAATCTGAAGCTCATAAACAAATTTTGTTGTGTTTTCACTCTCAGCCAAAATTATGGGTAAACCAAAAGGCCTTTATATTATGAACTATTCATTAATTCCAACGAAAAAWTTACTTACTAAATTTTAACAGCTTTTTTTTTTTTTTCCTTCACACAATATTTAATAAAGGGCTTGCTCCTGCCTCCGTTTCAGCCATCTCAGCACCTTACAGAGGAGGGCAGCGTACTTTATGAGTACATTGTGCGGTTTTGCAGTCCTCTACTGAAGTAAGTGGTGGATGTGTGAGTAAGGCTCATTTTACTGTTAATTTATCTTCTTGATGCTCAATATCAGACTCCATTTTCATTGACTGAATAACTGTGGAGTCGTTATGAAGGCAATAAGAACTGAGTTACTACCCTTGGAAATGATTACTGCTGGATTTTTGCCTTTTAAGCCTCCAAACAGGATGTTACGTTATCATATACAATTCCCTTCCCTGATGTGCTGTCTGAGCATTGGCCAAACCATCAGTGTCCCACTATGATTCATGTAGAACAGTAATCCCAGTGGAACCAAAGTAAGTACATATGAGATCATAAATGACAGTTTCCATTGCTGTGCTTTTTTTTTCGCATGAAGCTATCCCTCTTTATGAAATACTATTAAGTGCAATTTAGTAGCCTGATTGCTAAATGCTATTAAATCATCAGATAATGGCTGGTGTCCTTACCCCTCTAAATTCTGCACAGAGGTTACAGATTTGCCTGTGGGAGACTTCAGAACATTGGAATTCCTTTAAACACAATTCGTTTCCAACAGACACATACGGCTCTCAGGAACACAGGTGACAGGTCACATGTGTGATAGACACAGCTCCAAAACGAGCTTCATGGAGGATCATCCCTGAAGCTGAATTTTCAGAGCCGAAGGAATAGTTTGAAGCTGACTGGTTCTTTCAGCCTGGTTATGAAACTTACAGTCTAAACCATTCTTTACGCGTGTCCTTTGCTTTGAAAAATAAAAACACGCATTTGAAAGTATCTGAATATGTGGAAATTAGGTAAGGGAGAATGGTAGATGCCAGTCAGTGGGGGCTTCCTCTTAGTRGCCATGTTTATTAGCCTCAGCTGTGTGTGAGACACAGCAGCCATTTGAATAGGACATGTACAAGCCAGCTGGCAGCATTGGGTGTGTTGGGCTAGTGAGCAGCAGATTTCTGTCTTACTTACATCATGTTCTTATCTTTTGTTTGTC